GCAAAGATCAAACTTGTATTATCTTAAGTTCCATTTACAAGCACTTAAACATGGAAGAAACATAGTGTACCTTGAAACAACAACTGAAAAACAGCAGCTAAAAATGAAAGAAAAAAACTGCTGGAAAACTTCAGAAGCACAAAAACAGCAGTAATAATCAACACAGCTACAGCAGTCCCCAAATGAACCAGAATTTCAGACCCAAAACCAACTACTTGAACCCAGAAATCCTAGCTAAATAACCCAAGAAAGCTCTCTATTTCAAACCATTTCTAGCTTGTGAACAAAAGGGAGAAGGTTTTTTTTTTTTTCAAAATTTTCTAAGATTTTCTGAAGTCTGAAATTTTCAGAGAAAGGGATGTTTTTATGGAGTAAAATGATGCTCAAAATCTATTCTTTAGAACTTTTAGGCAGAGAATACTGCTTAATTGTGTAATGATTGTGTATGATTGTCCCCCTTTTCAGAATGAAAGAGCCTGTATATATAGGCTGCCTAGGTAGGATATATTTTGGGGAATATTCCTTATCCTAGGAGCTGAAAATAGTACAATACAACTGCCCTTCTTATCCTATTTTAGCATCTTTTGTTACAGCTAGGACAGCTGTATCATTTCTTGAAAACTTCTGATTTTTAGCCTCAGTGGAAGTCCAATTTTACCCTTCAAGTTACTGCTTATTTCATCTTTACCTAAACTCTTTTGGTTCAGTTAAGTCCCTAAGGTTTCTATTGATTTTCAAATCAGGACAAACAAAGACCAGAAAGTATCAAGAATCCAAATCAACATGCTGAAAACAGCAACATGCTGATTTAATTTAAACTTAAAACTTAACTAATTAATAAACGAAAACGGCTTATCTAATTAACCCTAAATAACACTGAATTTAAACTAAAATGATGGCAGAAACAGAGCAGACAAATTATCAAAACCTAATTAAAAACTTGAACCTACGTACAAATAATGAAACTAGCAATTAAAGAAAGAAAAGGAGAACCTAAACCATGCGGCTAAATCAGACATAGAACCAATTGAAAAGAAGCAAACCCTTAATTACTCTACCATATTGAACTAGGCTGATTTAATTAACCTAAATGCATCGAACTATATTTAATTAAAACGATTAACTAAGTAAACTTATTTTACTGAAATTTAAACAAACCAGCAATCAAAACAAACAAGATTGACACCTAAATGATAAAAATAAAAATAACTAAAAAAAGAAAAAGAAAAGAAGAAACAGAAACAAACTGATTTTGGCCATGAATGTGACGACGAACGAGGCAAGCCAACGAACGATGAGAATGATAAGGTTTGGCCGGCCAGTGGGTGCTTGGTCGGAGTCCGACGGGTTTTGAGATAAGCTAAAACTAACGTTAATCGATTGTTCTTGTCAAGAAAAATCGATTGGCGTAAACTTTGGCTCAAATCAAGCCTTAGGAACCATTGAAATCGGATTAGGGACGGATTAGGGTTTTCAACTTTCTCAGAATTAAAATTGGACCAAATTGGCAAGGATTTTGGGACAAACGATGGTAGGATAGTGATGAGGGGAGGCTGGGGATTGTAGGGTCAAAATTTGGGGGTTATTAGTGGTCAACTGCCGCCGTAGGCGATTTCTGGCGGGCGGGCGGCGGCGGCGATTTAGAGAGATGAAAGAGGGGTTTTGTGAGTTTGATTTGGGGTAGGGGGGTTCATCCGACATTTTTAAGAGATTGGGTAATTAGTTGCAGACCGTTGGATGAGGAACGATGGAGGGTGGGGATTGAATGACCTAAAACGGGGTCGTTTTGGCTATGTGGGGACTGGACTGGATCGGGAAAATTTGGGCCTAGGTTCTGGACCGATTTTGGGGCATGTTTTTGGGTATGGGGCAGCCCAATTTCAATTAAAAGGCCCCTTCTTTTATTCCCTTTCTTTGTTTTCCTTTCTCTCTCCTTTTTCTTTTTCTTTTTCTTCAATTAAAAATCCTAAAATTAAAATCCTAAATTATCTAAATTGTAAAATTAGACTAATTATCTAATTACAAAAATTATAAAAGCTACTTAATCCTAAATTAA